GCACGAGCAGAGCCGCGCTGCTGGAGGCAGCTGCTTGGTGCAGCGGCCCGGGCACCCTGGGTTTTGTTTTTTTAGTTTTTTTTTTTTAATTTAATTTGTATCCGAGGCCAAATTAGCCAAAACTAATTCCAAATCCATGAGTCCAGACCCATAAGTGGCCCTGTCCCTGGCAAATATCCTCCACCCGCACCTGGGGCTTCAGATGTTTCCAAAAGCTTTGGCGGGCGTCCCACGTGCGGGCCCGTAGGGGTCCGGAGGCCCCCGAGCTCTGCTTGCCCTCAGCCGTAAGCCCTGGGAGCAAGTAAGAGAGGAGCCTGAGCCTGAGCCTGCTCCTGGGTTTGCTGCCAGCGCTTTCTTATGAAAGAAAGAAGCACTTCAGTCTGGGTGACCCTGGTCTCGCTCGCTTGCTGGAGTTACGGCTGAGCAACGTCAAGTAAAACTTGTGTGCCTATTTTTTTTTTAGCATGCAATTGTTTTTCAGCAAATACGGTAATTTGGTGCTTCTAATACGACTGAAGCGGGGCAGCGCTGTTGCAGCCGTTCCGCGCGCCGCCTTGTTTATGGTGGAGCGCGGCAGTGGTGGTTTAACCCCGTGCGTCGCAGAGGCGGAAGGTGGGGGGCTGCCCTCGTGCAGGTGAGCTCAGCACCCTGGGTGTCTAGAGCAGTGTTTCCCAACCTTTTCCAGCTCAAGGCACGCTTATATTAATAAAAGTTTTCCCGTGGCACACCTGTTAAGGCATTCCCTATCCTTGCATCTATTGTGGCTTGTTGCCGTGGCAACAGTCTGGCACGCCTGTTCATTTCTGACGGCACACTTTTGTGCCGTGGCTGGTTGGGAAACACTGGTTTAGAGAGACGGGGAGCATAAGCTGCCTGAGCCCAAATTCACGGGCATCTGCTGACCTTGAGGTCAGGACAGCAGGTGCTGTCCTGTCTACAGACTTCTCAGAGGGGCAGGACTGCCCGCCTTCTGCCTGATGCCAGGCTAACACAGCAACCCGCTCTCTCTGCCCCTGCTTGTCTTCCAGCAGTGGTGCCCCGCCTTCCCCCCTTGGGCTGGATGGCTGGGGCTCAGGCCATGGGCTGGATCCGGCCTGCAAGCCCGATACAGCACGTGGGGCGATGAGGCAGGGCCCGCTCTTGGCCTGGCTCCCAATCCAGCCACAGGGAGGGAGTGTGGGGGGCCCCACAGGCCGGATGCCCCAGCTCCATGGGCTGCGTTTGGCCCGTAGGCTGGAGGTTGAGCACCCTGTTTTACGTGCTTTAAGACTGATATAACTCTTGCACCTTTTGTCCCCCAGAGACTAGCTTTCTGGGGTCCTCGGTTTGTTCTTTCATCATTAGGCTGTTCGCTCCTTCAAAAATAAACTAATGCACAGAAACTAGTGAGTTATTTAAACGGGGATGTTGAACGTGCTCTGAAACCCTGACTGAAGTCTGGAACGTGCTTCCTTCTTGGAAGGGAAGAGTTTTTGTTTTCCCCTAGCAAATATCAGCTAGGTTATTTTTGAGAGGTTTGCAATATTTGCATGAGGCTGAAACTGAGCAGACATTAGTCAAAATAAGACTGGCTTTTTTGGAGTTCTGAATCGGAACGGTTTGTGTCGGGAGGAGGGGAATTATAGATCCCTTTTAAACACCTTTTTGTGACGCTCGTGTATTTTTATCATCACAAAAAGAATCGCGCAAGTACGCTGTTCCGCTTCAATAAGGACTCTCAGATATCTATGGGCAAAGGAACAAAACAAGCTGTTGGCGTTACGAAAGTCGGTTGGTGCAGGAATTCTCAAAGGACTGCTGATGGGAGCTTCCACCTGCCTTTTTGACAGCAGAGCTCTTTCAGGGGAGATTGCTGGCAGCTGTATCTTGATAGGAAACCCTGTGTTAACTTGTCTTGACAGAAATTGTGGCTCATAGAGACATACAGTCATTTTACTGAAGCTTTTTTTGGAATATGTTTTCTGTCTGAGCAATAGTGAGGGCTCTTGAGACATGACACTGAACTGCACTGATGTGCAGAAAAATAACTTATGAATGCTTTCTCCAGGTGCAGTGTATTTTCAACTTGTTCTCTGCTGAATTTAGAACAGGATGAGTGGATGAATGCAAAATTACAAGTAATGTAATAAGAACGGTAAAGTGTATTTGCTTGTATTATCCTTAATCTTTTTTAGTTTAATAGCTCAGCCTTCATCAGTTTGCATTTCAGTGTTTTGCTTCTCTTCAAGTTCTCTAAAGGTTTTAAATCATTTATAATTTAGAATCTGATCCTGGGAGTTAAGAGTGCAAAAGTTGTTTGGTAGAGGGCCTCTCCTCCTTATATTAATCACTATTCCTATCCGTACATTTTTTTAGTATTTGAATAAATGATGATATTTATAAAACTTTCATTATGTTAAGTATTAGTTTCTAGTTATTTTTACAGTGTTACAATTATCTAAGTCATTGTGCTTGGAAAAATGGCATGAATGATGGTTCAATCCTGTATTTTTCACTGAAATCAGTGTAAAACTCCCACTGGCTTTAGTAGAAAAGAGATTTCTACACACATACATTTTCTTTCTCTAGCAATTAGCTCTATGAAGATAAAACTTATGAATGTCTTTTCTATTCAAACCAGATAAAATAATATATCTATTAGATCCATCTTTATCCAGTCTATGGCTTGATACTGCATTAACCATTAATAAATGCTATAAAACATAATTATCTTCACCAGAACCCATTCCCCCTTCTGGCAGCTGGATCTTCCTGGGAGGTCATAGATGATCTGCTCCTCCTCCACCTGCCAGGATCCTGCAGGGAAGTCCGGGATACCCTTCTCTCACCTGTGGCACCAAGATCTCTTCCTCTGACCGGCTCCCTATCTGGGTCAGCACCCGTTTTCCAAGAAACGGATCTTTTTTCGCCAGGTAGCAGACAGGGCATTGGTCTGGGGTTAGAAATTTGGGAAAAGAGAGCTTGTGTTTTGACTATATTTGAGGATAGTTGTGTCTTTTCTCCCTGTTTCAGGATTTATTGTTCAACACAGATTAGTAATTATTACCTCTTTTATTTCTTTTTGAAGGACTATTTTTTTTTAAAGTGGAATAACACGCAAGAAAGCAGTGCTGTGTCTGCAACTAACAAACGAGCAATGTTTCTGAGAACATAATAAAGGTATTGTTGTACCATAGCCGTAACATTTCATCCAAGGTAATTGCTAAGTAACACTGGGTCACTTTCCAGTCCAGTCCTCATCTGTTTTCAGATGTTAGCAAAGAGTAAGTAAAAAAACCCACCAAGAGAACTCTGTATATACCTTATTTGATACATGATTACAAACAATAAAATAGGATTCATTTAATGTTTGAATGATAAGTAAATTTGAAAAATGACTTTAAATTTAAACTAAAGATGGTTCTTGAGAGACTCGGATATCTTATACCAGGACAAAATCTGGTCCCTGCCAGAACATATGACTTGCCATATTAGATCAGACCAGCGGTTCATTTAGTGACATTAAGTTGCTTTAGAGAAAATGATGCGATTTAGTACAGTTATGGATTTAACCTGCTTACAGGGACTCTTTCATCCTAACTCCTCTCCTGTAGAAGTTATTTAGTCCTTGTAGAATTTTTTAAATTTTTTTTGCTATTGTAACCGTATCTTGATCTGTATAAATGTCAAGGTCATTTGAAGCTCTTGGCTTCTATGATACCTCATGGTAATGCGTTCCATGGACAAATAGTATATTGTATTAAAAATATTTTTATCCATTTTAAGTCTTCTCACTTCAGAGTCCAGGGGATGACTCCTTGTCTTTGTATTACGAGAGAGAATGAATGAATGGTTTGATTTAGTACTCTCATATTAATAATTACTTAGTATCACTGTCTCTTATTTTTCTCCTCTAAAGTAAACAGCCTCCATCTTATCTAGTGGTATATTTTTAACATATGTTGGGGCAGCACGCAGAGTCTCAGTTAAAAAATAATCATGGAGCATTAATTTAGGGCAGAGTTTCCTTTTGGAAAAGGACTATCTAAGAATAATACCTTACTTAATAGAGCTATTCTCTGCGTGTATTCAGGTTGTACCTTGCTGGCTTTGGCTACTGTTAGAGAACCAGAGCAGCTCGGAGGGAATAAGCAGGATTCTGTTAATTCTTGAACATCATCAGTAGAATTAGTGACTGAATTCCAATCAGTTACAGCTGTGCAGACATATTGAGGCAAAGTACAAACTGTTTAGGGGAAAAATGACTGCAGGAAGCATTAAAAACGACTAGATGGACTGACTTCTGAGAGAGCGAAGAGCCTCGCCTCACAGGAAAAGGCCTTAATGGAGCAAAATACGTGTTGTGAAAGTATGTGGTGACTGAGGAAGATGAGAGAACCACTTTCTACAAATATGTTAATAATGTAAAGGAGAGAAAATAGTTATTAAGGTGATATACAATTGCATTTTGTTACCTAAGAATTTTGAGATGGAATTTAGAAAGGGAAGATTACTAAGTCCATAAGATGCATTAGCCTATAGACTAATTGATTTTTAATGGCACTAATTGAAATTCTGTCTCCCAATTTGTTCAGAATGAAAAAAGTCCTACTATAAATGCACTCCAGGGAGACAGGCTATAGGTCTTTCACATTCAAGCTACTATGCAGTTAGTTTAATGAGAAAAATTAATTCTTTAACCAGTTCATTTACTGACCTCTGGAAACTATGATTAAACTTTTGCTTTAGACCTCTTCAGATTTTAGGGAGCTTTGTCATGTGAATAAAATCCATATTGATGGCTTTTCCAATAAGGAGAATGCGATTGATAAATACAGGAAGGTTGCATGAGAAGACTCCCTGGCTACTAGTATTTCTGATTGGCTCCAGTCTCTTCTGTTACCTGTGTCTCTTATGAACTTGAATCTGGTCTCCTGAAATCTTACATTGCATTTTATTGTTGTGGAAGAAGGGAAAAATGGAGTTGAATCTCCATTATATGTAAGAATAAATAAAAAAAACATATACCCAGCTTGGCTATGAGGAAGTCACAAGGGCATGACCCAAAACCGCCAGACTAACACAAGATGGGGACCATCCTGCCCTGGTCTAGTAAAAAACAAAAGCTTAGCACAAAAGTAACCACAAACCAGCCTGCTGAGTCGGCCCAAAATGGGACGTGAACCCTAAGTTACAAGTTAGACAAGAGATAGTAAAATTTTTGCTAACATAATCATAAAACAAGACATGCGCTTTACTAACAAAGTCATGACAAATGCTGATTGGTATATGTCGTTGCTATGCTTATGATGTCATATTTTCTATATGAACTCGCCTCATCTGTTGTACGAGGTCAGACCTCTTCACAATTCTCCAATTGTGTATGAGTCTGTTCAGAATGCATTCTCTAATAAACCAAGCTTCTGCTGACCTGATCTAAAGTTTGCTGAGTGTGTTTACCACGACGTTGTGATACACAATATAAAGAAGGATTGGGTGTTGGGTAAAAAATTAGCCCAGTCTAGAATACTGGGAATCTTGCTGACACTTACTTTAGCCTCCTATGTAACAGCACTTGGTGTTAAAGAACTTGTTGATGAGGTTTTTGTGGAAGAAAAATGTTGCTTGCTGTTAGTCCAGATCCTTATTATATCACTCCTTGGCAACAGCAGACTCAGAGTACGAATCTTCAGCTAGACCATAGCTCATACTGTAATCCAAATGTACTTCCAGTTTCTTAAATTCTGGGGTCTCTTTTTTCACACACAGACTTCTAGATCAGATCAAAGCCCTATACATCTTTGTAGAGTACTAGAATGGCAGTTAAATTTATAGATTCTCTTTTAATATTCTGGAATTTCCTTCACTGGAGAGTGTGAAGAAATGGCTGATTAGATAGATATCTGTCTGGGTGGTTTAAGAACAAGAAGTTTCTGTCTGTCTGTGCATTTAGTCTAAATCAGTGGTCCTTGATTTTTTCAGCATGCGGGGTGGATGGATTCCAGGTCCATCTGTGGGATGGATCCAGTCTGCGGGCCCAGCGCCGTGTTTAATGTTGCCCCAGCAAGATTGGATGCAGGTGCCTTGGGTTCTGGTCCAGCTGTTCCTGCACACCTGCACTGGGCCCTGGCCAGGCCATTTCCATGCAGCTGGATTGGGTCACAGCTCTTT